CGCGAAGAAAAATCGAATCTCAAAGAGCAAGGTCCTCGAAGTAAAAGAATCGCTAGGCAAGTACCGACGCCTACCTCCTCTCACCTGCTCGATGAAAATAATCCGAAAAATACGCTTTTCGGGGGGGGGGGGGGAGAAAAGCGCGCCGGAGACACGCGGCGCAAAAGTGCCTGGCGCTCGAAGCAAACGCTTCGCTCGAAAGTGCTTTTCTGGTAATGGCGCTGAGGGCCGTCTAATGGATTTATATCCTCACCTCTCGACAGTTTTCTAACGCCGAGCTGAACAATGGAAGATACGCGTCGACGTTGTTGTTCACTCGGACTTTTACAACTTACTTGCACACTGCGCCCAATGCCATATTAATTAAAAAGCTCCATTCTACAAGCTGCGATGACCCTCTATAATCATCTAGTTAAGAAAATTTAATTCCTCCGATCGATAAATCGAAAATGCTATTTATTTTTTTTTTTTCTATATTTTATTATTATTTAAATAATTCATTTGAACGAATCGCGTTTGAGCGCTGATTTTTAATTTCGTTGAATCAAAAAGTCATTTGTGACGATTACTAGCCGTTGCATTGCTCATAATTTATATCTCATAATCATTTGCCATAGTTAATTTTATGAGTACTTTGTCGAGGCTCATTACTAAGTTTTTTCCAATTTTCAGTTAGTTTCAATGCATACTAGTAAACGTGATTCAAAAAAGTAACAAAAAAAAAAAAGAAAAAAAATAAAGAAGAAACAAAAACTATAACCATAGTTAATGCTTATGCTATGTTCCCTAATGGAAATGAATTACGCTAACTTTTTCTACCATACGTATTGCAACATTTTCAACCTTCACCAACTTATTACTAAATTGCAATGTTTTTTTTCGACATACGTCGCTGCAAAATGATATTAATAAAACGCGTAAACTTCTCTCGCGTTTTGAATGTAAAGATGTCGAATATTTTGTCATCTATATTTAATTTTCCCATTCCTCATAACACTTTCCATGAACTTGATAATCAGATACTTCCTTCCCGATTTATAAGTTTTGCTGATATATCGCATCTACTTCAATGCTCATTGAACCAGGGAATATTGATGAAGTATTATTTGTGAAAACAAAAGAAAAAATTAATTAATACAGCATTTCTAAATTTATGTCAATAAAAAAACTTTATTTATTAGTATCATGTATGTGCGTAACAGTAATTTCGACAAAGCATTGTATTTATTATGAAGTGCTTCATTAGAAATTAAAATTGTAAAATATTTGTTTTAATATATTTCATTTAATATAATGACCTACGTGATTATTATATTTTACGCAATTTTTACCCCCCATATTATAGCCAATTGGAAATAATCAACATTATAAAAGGTACATCAAATAAAAAATGTAATTAGCCTGCCATCATAAGATATATGAAAATGATAAATTGCCATGCAAAAAGATTAATAGCATCGTAAAATCATGATGATGTAACTTAAAAGCTCACAATTGTCCCTTAATTATTACAAAAATTTGAAAATGAATTAACATGCACAATATAAACTCATTGTTATTTATAAATTTTAATAAAATGAAAGGATATATTTTTTCATATTTATTGCTTAATCGATACATACATATATATATATATATATATATATATATATATATATATATATATATATATATAACAATTGTAGTACTTTATAATCACTCACATAATTACTACGGAATACGTAATGTTTATTATGCACATGACCAACAATATGATAATTTCACATACATTCTGTAATTCCTGAAATTGTGAAAATGAGTGAAAAATTCGTTACTATTATATTATTAATATATGATATGCAATTAAAAACATTGGTAGCGGAATAATTACGAATATTTATTTGAAAATTGTATATAAATATAAAATTTGGTAAAATAAATAATTTGAACTTATGAGTTTTTATTTTGTGCATTAACAACAATTCTATTCCATATTCACTGCCGTTAAATATTTTATTTCAGAATTAATATGAAATAAAAAATAAATAAATTAATACAATGATTGGTTTGTGAAATTCTTGACTTATTGTGTCTTATAATAATAATAATCTTTTGATTCACCATGTACAATTTTACTTTATATAAATAAAGATTTTATGCAATATTTATATAATTGTAGTACTTATCTAACATATATTTGTGAAATATATTGGGTGGAATGTGTCGACGACGCGTTACGCTCGAGTCTCATTTCTAAATTCGTAATTTGAAAATACACATTAATTCGCAACTCACCGAACAAATTCAATTCCACAGATTTACATCGATGGGAGTAATAAAACTTGAAATTAAAAAAGTATATTAAACATATTTGTTCTCTGCAGACAGCCACTGATAACAATTCCACTAGTAAAACAACGCGACTCCACAAATCTGCACTCAGTCGAATGCATATTTTCGAGTTGGTAGGTTCGTGCGCCCACGCATTATTCACAACATGTTAAATCTAACGCTACCGAGCCCCAAGTCATCGTTATTTCGTTGGCAATTACGGAAATGGGCGTAAATAATTGCCGAGTAAGGATTTCACCACCAAATTAATTCGCAACATTGATTGTAAGCCCCGGGTGAGAGAGAATGGATTTTGTCACACCGTATGTTTTAGTACATGCAACCATTATCACGGGAATCGACTTAAATCGCAAAGTTCGTCTAATGGCAAATTTAATTACATGTGTGTGCGTGCCTGCGTGCCTGCGTGCGCGCGTGCGCGCGTGCGCGTGCATATAGATATATAGATAGGCAATTAGCAATATTCAAAGGATAGATCATTTTCTAATCGTTTTTCCTATCGTCGACAACGATAACTTAATTAAAGCATTCGAATTAAATTTTCAGAACAATCAGTGTCGCTTATTATTAAAAAATACAAAATTAATAAATCTACATAAATTAATGAATATGTCTTATAGAAAATTCAATAGTTTGCCAAAATAATCATCGTTGATAATTGTTTTTAATTTGAATATGAGATAAAATTAGGTATAAATTTACTTATATAATAATTTAAAATAACATTTTCATCATTAATCACTTTAATCCACATTAATTCTTTTTTCATTTCTAAAAACAAATCTTTACTTTACACAAACATAAATTTAAGCAAAAAAAGAAAATTTTTTTTCACCCAAGTGATTACTTATATATAACTATTTATCATATGCTACCATTGTAATAATGATTTTTTTCATATTCCATTGATCACACATTACATGTTAACTAATTCAATAATAATCATTATAAAGGTTTATTTAATTTAGAATAATTTTAAGAAATTTTCAAATACTGTTTTTCTACATTTTTATTCACAATATATTCTAATCCTTTAATGACTCTGCATCCAATTTCTATTACTATTCCAATATGGTGTCCTTGTTTTCAAACGAAAACTCTTGATTAATGTTGTCGCATTTCATGCATACGGATGTATCACTATAAATGTATTTTTCCCGAATGAGTTTTTGATTTACATTTAGGTCATTCATATAAATTGAGATTAAAGGAATTAAAATTAAATTTCGCGAATAATACGAGGCTTAGAAAAATTCATTCATACAAGCGACGATTCATTTTTATTACTACATCTACGACAAATTTCCACAAATATAATGGCATATACAAAATCTATTAATTATAAAAAATTTTATTTAATCGTTAATAATCATGCTAACAATGATTCTATCATTAACAATCTTCACATTATGCTATGCACAATTTTAACAATTAACTAAAAAAAATAACGATATTACGAATATAAAATTATACTTTTGTTATTATAATATATAAATTCATCTCATTAATTATTAAAGTAAATATTTATTACGATGTAATAAAATAAGTTAACTTTTATTAACGCACCTTAGTCATATGGATTATTTTCTTAAACGATGATATAACTCAGGAGCAATAAAATTCCAGCAAATACCGTAAATTTAATAAATCGATATTTCAATTCATTACATAAATAAATCAATAGCACTTTTTATTATACATAAACGTTTTTGCATAATTATATCTTATTGAGCTACGTCAAAGTAGTCCGGAATAATATGAAAAATTTTTTGTTATACACCAATAGTAAACCAGCTAATAGAAGAAAATTTAATAATAATTATTATATTTTGTACTTAAAATTCTTACTTGACAATTGAATACATAAAAAAACGAGGATGGGAAGCGGATTGCAGCACCCGATCGCGCGGGTGGAGGGTGAGCGGACGACGGGTTACGGGTATCCGTTGGAAATCCATGAGAAGAGCGGCGAAGGTACGGGCCGGACCGAGGAGTGGACCGGGATGACACGCGGCCGACTCGACGAGTGATTCAAGTAGTCGAGTCGTTACTTAGAGCTTCAGCTGGGAGCGTAGCGAACTCCTGTAATCCAGCGATTGGAGGCTGGTTATGGCGGAGGGTCTGAGGTCGGGGTTCCCTGCTGGTTCGAGCTCCACGTTGACTGGGCGTCCGCACTAAGCTCGCCATCGATATGGCCACCCCGGAGGAGTCCAGGGTGGCCAGGTCAGCTAAGGAGAGGCGAACCGGGCCAGAGGGGAAACCCAGCAGCCAAAAGTCTCCGTGGCGGGCAGTAGTGGGATCGCGCCCGGGAGTGGGATCGCATCGGCAGCCTGGCCAACACGATTCGACCCATAACTTTTTGCACTCCACCCGGGACGTCGTCGTCTCGTCGTGGCCACCTGCGGGTGAGGGGAGTAGTAAGTAGTTGCTTTGTTGGACGGGGGAGGAAGAGACTGACTGAAGAGAAAGTAGTGACTAGGAAGAGTAATAAGAAGTTGCGAACGAGCCGAGGAGATGAGTACGACGCACCAACTCCTCTTATACCTCATCGGCCTGCCTCCCAAACGCATTTTTCTTATTTTTCTCACCAACTCCACGGCACTCGCTAACAGATCACGCCCACGCACCATTTTTTATGCCAACTTTTCGCGGATTTCAAAATTTACATCATGGCTTTACACATATATACAAGAACTTCTTTTCTGGTATTGCTCACTTATTACGTGACTTGGTACATGTTCATTTCATCGAAAGTAATTCTCATTATTTATGATAAAATTAATATACAATATATATATATATATATATATAATAATTGAAATATGAAACTCTGATAATATTCTACTCCTTGATGCCCAATTTATTAATTAGAAGATTATATGCAGAAAGCATACAAGCCATTTTATATTATTATTATTATTAGCTTCATCATTAATACGGATATTATACAAGTACAATTTATTGTTTTATCTTGATAAATATCACTTAACTTAATATAATATATTATTCATTATTTGTAATTATTCATTACAATAATTAATTATCATAACCGTGGACATGTATAAATTACGTAATTGAAAGCTGTTTAATAACGGTATGCTTACGTTGTGGAAATTTTAATTCAATAATTTTATTCACATTTCGAGAAAAATGTAGTCGCCTTTTTGTCTAATTTAAGCAATTTATGAACAAATTTTTAGTATATCCGATTGATATTAATCATACGATTGTGAATTTTACAAGGACATTCATTTTCTCCATTGAATAGAGTGATAAATAATAACATTTGAATAATGTTAGAATTATTGGAAATGTCAAAGAAAGATTATATGTAATGTAAAAATAATAAATTGTAGACGCTTTTTTTACACACGTAATTCTTTATTTGCCCATATCAGATACTGTTGAAGGCGACGCTGCTGTTGGCGCTTCTCGTGGTCCAGCGCGCCCAGGCCAATGCGGACGAATCGACGACGACAACGACGACGACGTCGAGCGCGACCTCGACAGTCCCGTTGGCCGCGACCACCCTCGGAACACTTTTCCGGCAGGCTCGATCGGAGCACATCTTCGCAGGGAACATTTACGAGGACGAGGCACAAGCTCAAGTGGCAGTAGTCAGAAGGAGTGAACCCCTTGAGCAACGCGACTCTGCTTACTATGAGTCGAGGTGCATCACCTGCGACCCTGGGAAGAGCGCCGTCGCACCTGCCGACCGCGAGTGCGTACACATATAAATGCATTAATCGGGGTTGCATTCTCATTTCCGGAGGGATGATAATGGTATTAGACTGGGGAGGGGCGAGTCATTATACGCAGCTATTTTTATAAATAAGATCCAAGTATACAAAAATATGCATTACTCGTGGGTGCTTTTTTTATTTCTATTTCACTAATCGTAGACTCGGCCGACGTTATTAGCTTATAAAATAAAATACGTCTCTTGTTTTACATTTTTTTTATTAAATGTGTACTTTGAATATGCTATTACGCATAAGCGATTGGTTATATGATATTCAAATAATAATCTCATATAAATATTAACTATATATTATTCATATATGTATTGCAGATTATACATTTTGTAGAATGTAATTATTAACTCTTGATGTGTATTCTATTTTCATTGAATTTTGATACTCTGACAAGGATTATTCCAGACCTTCTTATTTTAAATATTACCTAAATTTTATAATTTTGAAAATACGTGTATAGAATTTCAAATCTGTTGTTCAAAATTCAATTTCAATTAAATTTAATCGTAGAAATCGAATTTATGAGATGCAATTTGAAATTCTTTTTATCGATATGAGAATAAAGTAAGTTATACAAAGACAGCCATCTTTTTATTATGAAAACTTTAATAAGAAACGCTGCTTAGTTCCATATGAATATATCTCCAAATAAAATCTTACGACTATATTTAATAATAAAATTCTTATATCAATAATAATAGTTTCATTAAAAATTCCTTACTCTCCATAAAATAATCAGTCTTTTATTTTTTTTTAAATTCATTCGATCTATAATACTTTTACAGCTATATATAAAAAATAATAATTTAATTGCAAAATATATTTCTGTATTTACAATAATTATTCACATACATTTATGGATCAATTTAATTTAATTTTCGTTTGTTTTTCCTTTTTGTTTTTAATATAAACAGAAACTTATTCGTTGGCTTGATCTGTTACTGAAAATAATAGCACCAAAAGTAATGACAATTTTTTCTCGCAGCTCTTACCAGGCAAGATGGAGACAGCGAAACAAATACGATTATTACGATGATGAGATAGATGATCGCAGGTACAGGGATCGATACGAACCATATTACGATCGTACCAGAGCTCCAGTTTACGATTACGATCGCTACGACAATTACGGAAGAAACGAACTTTTCAGACCATCCATATACAATGACAGGTCAATCAATTTACATTAATAGAGACGTTGTTTCATTATGCAACAATCATACAACTTTCTTACTGCTATTGGCAGGCTCAAGTTATTGCAACGTCAATTATTTATACCATATTATTATTATGATAATTGATAAGTGAAAGATTTTATAATTGATCTCGTAGTAACTTATGAGATCCAATAAACAATAATCAATAATAATAATGACTTATTTTTCTAAATCACATCATTTTACTATTTTTTATAAACAATTGGTCGTGTGTAATTAATACGATTGATAATTATGCTATTTGGATTATTGTATCAAATTAAGAAAGAAATTCCTTTTACGCCTAGTCTCTTTAAATCAGTGGCAAAAAACAAAAAAACTATTTTTTATATAATCGAAATGTTCCATTTATTCGGCAAGATCACATTCAAATTCCATCGATATTATTTAACAATTTAATTGCCGTAAAAATCAAATAAATCTTACAATAATGACATTAAAAGTAAGTAAAATAAATCATGGAAAATGTCAATGGTGCATTATTCCTCGATCAATCATAATAAAATAGAATAACTCAAAATAGCTAAAACAAATCCGAATAACAACGCAAATTAATACAACGGAGCTTTCGACAAAGCATTATTATCCATTTCTGGATAATTTAATTAGTCCGCAGTTTTTACGATAACATTTCAACGAAAATGCCTTCTTTCAGATACGAACCATACGAGCGCGAACGTTTCTACGGGCGTCCGAGCGAGCGACCGAGTGACCGCCCGATCGATCGTCCCCTCATCGAACGACCCCTCGATCGTCCCCTGGAGCGCCCGGTTGAGCGACCCCTAGCTGAGCGCCCCTACGACCGGAGCTACGAGCGAGGCAACGGCTACGATAACTTGGACGGACGCTACTCGTACGATGAGCGCTACGGACCCTCCAGGAGGCCCTCCTACGAGGATTACGGACCCACCCGCTACGACCGCTACAACGGCAATCGAAACTACGGACGCTACGACTCTCGCTACGATCGCTACGATCCCTACGAGAGATTCGGATACAGAAGACCGACAACTTACGACGACAGGTAAGCGCTCCACTTTCGTCGTCAATTACGACTTTGCGTCAAGCTTCAAGCTCAAGCTAAACTTTAGCGAGCTTCATTTGGACGATGTAGATGCAAAAAAAAAATTGCTCAAACCTCGGCTGGACGAACTCTATTGTCTGCAGCTGCGTACTAACGTAAAACTTACACTCACGAGTATCAGCCCCAAGAATATAAAATTTTAATTTTCAATCCAACAGTGAAATTAACTTGCATTGGCTCGACAGTTATTGTGTTATGCTTATCCTTCAATTCCCACTGACCTTACTATAACTTTGACACTGACGCACCTTTAATTTCCTTCTAACCATCGAGTATTTATGCTACAATTAAGAATATTCTAGAATAATAATTGCTTATTCGGACCTCGACAAATACGTCTTGCTGCACTTCAAATTTTATTATATGTAACATCCTGGAAGTGGCTTATACAAGTCATCCATTTAGGATGGCGATTAAAAAGTGACGTGTATAACAATAATAATAATAATAATAATAATAATAATAATAATAATAATGATAATGTTAAAAATTTTTACGATTTTTACGATCATTATAATAATGCACGATAATACAAATGATTATGTGAAGAAGGCAGAAATAGCCATTGTTTTGATCATTAAATGTTATTCATATATTTTATCTTTTAAATAACATATATCTCTCACTCTACATTGAGTCTGCTTCACTCGTTAAAATGTCTCCTTCACAATTGCCTTTATCATGAAAATTGTGGAAATAAATAAAATCTTTTATCAAGAATAAAAGATTATCGTTAAAATATTTCAATACTATTTCAATTCAGTTTTATATTATATATTCATATATTGTTTTTTATTCACTCACTCAATGGCTTTTCGTACCTATCATTATTAAATTTAAACACTCTGCTCTTTACTTTATTTCATTAGATCGAGATTGAATTATCGTATTGATTAATAGAGAATATTTTGTTTTCGTATTCGTTGATAATCTATCACTTCTTTTATCTAAATTACATTTCATAAGTTGTACATTAAATTACTCTCCTATAAAGTAAAATAATTTACAATAAAAACTTAGTATTTGTGAAAGAATGAAAAAAGTCGATGTAATAATTAAAAGAGCCAACGTAATAAATGTAATGTGTTTTAATTTTTTAATTTTTTTTTTTTCTTTCTTCTTTTTTATATTAATTTCTCCAGTTTCATCCATTTTCCAAGCATGCTTAATATAAATGGTAGCGCAGCTATAAGTAAATCTTACTTCCTACCAAAGTTGCCTGAAATAATGAAGAACCCCTTCAGCAAAATAATAGATGACGTTATAAGCGCAGCACTTCCCTGAAAATATTTGACCACTAATTCAGATAGCAGAGGTCTTTAAGGTTTCATGCAATAAAAAATAAATAACACATTAAAACTAGTATAAAGCACATAAAAGCTAGAAAAAAAAGTACTCGTCTTAAGTAGTACCGTGTGCAAATGTTTTTTTTTTTTTTTTTTTTTTTTTTTTTTTTTTTTTGAAGTGGCATCAATATATTTAAATGCACTTAGGCTTCATTAGAAATGTAATTAATGTAAACACAGTGCTTATAGATACGAAAAGTATGGCGGTGGCGGAAGCGGTGGAAGACCAATTTCAGATTCCCGAGGATACTATGGCTCGAGTTTGCCGATACCAGGAGTCGCCGATAGACCGGCTTACGCCAGTGCCTGGAATTACGCTGGGAGTAGCCGCGAAAGTTGGAGAGACGTGAATCGTGATCGAGACCGAGATCGTGATCGCGACCGCGATCGCGATACTGGGTAAGTCTCCGAATTGCTGATCGGCTTGTGCGCAAAATATGAGAAATAATATAAAAATATGATGATATTACGTAAATTTTTTTTGACTATTTGCGAATATGTTGTCGCGATTTTTTTCATTAAAAGTAAGATAATAATTTCCTAACCTAAGACAGAACTCTACTCGTATCTACTAAAATATTTAAATTAATCTTCATAAATATTTTAATTAATATTATGTTGAGTAACTTAATCGTAACTGTATAATATAGATAAAAAATTATTTTAATTATTTATATATATATATATATATATATATATATATATATGCGTTTTTACTTATATTTTAGTATGCATTAGAAATAATTTTTTAAATACATAGAAGCTCTGTGAATTTTTAGGTGATATTGAAATGGTAATTTTTAATACAAATTATTGAAGCTTTATTGAAATTATAGATTCATAAAGGTACTCCCTGTATTTTGTAATTAAATAACAAAAATTTGCTTTGCAATGTAATTTAATTATACTAATGCATTAAATAAATGATAAAAATTCGTAAATATTAAAGAATTCTAATTTACCATAGTAATAATTGAATTGCCTTTTATATAAAGTTTCGCATTCGTTTAAACTATAATTTAAAAATAAATTTTAGTTAAAATGTTATACACCGTACGATTTATAATTCTGTAGAAAAATGTCAGTGCCAGAATTACAGCTCATACATTTTTATTTTTCAGAGTAGTAAAAATACTAAAGAATTTTTTTTTTTTTTTTTTTTTTTTTAAATGTAACGAATAACCTGCACTATCTACGAATAAATGAACACATATATTTGATTCGTTACTGCAAGTTAATAAATGATATTATTGCCTTAAGCATTTAATTTTCACTTTTATTTGCGTATCCGTGATAAACACATCAATGATACAAATTCATATAGTACTGTAATGAAATTTATAAATTAATCAATAATCCGTAATTTTTAGTCAATAATTTATAATCTTACTTGATAAAAACAGAATAAAAGAAATGAAAATTTTCTTATTCTCAATTGATCGTTGGAATTAATTGTCAAGTATTCGTGTATTCGTTGATAATTGACTATCCATGCACAAAAATAAGTATAAAAAAATAATTAATATAATTATAAAAAATAATAATAAAAAAAAAATTATCGCTAACAAAATTAAAGCAAATCCCGGCCCTTGTCAGCACATAACACAACTTCTCGCTCTGTCTAAATTCAAATAATGCAGACTGATAACCATCTTCCGTCTCTCCCGTAGATTCTATCGTCCACGGGATTACTTTTACGATAGCACCGCAGCTCCTGGTGGCTCGCGAGGTACGAGTTACCTGTACGATCGACCGGAGTCCTCCACGAAGCCGGACACCGATCGCGACAAGCCGACCATCTCAACCCAGAGCCAAGACGCTGGCAAGACTTACAAAGACTAGGAAGGACTTAATAACCAACGTCTCTCTAGATTTCAAGAGCTGGATTATTCACTCTTGCCGAGGTGCGGGGCCGTCTCAAAGTGGTTTGAAATGGTCCACGTAATGTCAAATTATCACGAGAGATGATTGAGCTAATCAATATTAATCTGTGAAAGAAATGTCGAATTTCTTATGAGCTTGAGAGTTGCAGAATCGGGAGATAATTGGAGATGATACATGAAGCAAATCTGCCTGAGTAAATTTTCAGCGCCGACGCATGATAAGTTCACTTAGGGAGATTTAATTCTTAATGTTGTAATGAAAATCCCTCTATTTGGAAATGATTTTGCCCCGTGGAGCGATTACTATTACCTATTTATTTCGCATTATCGAGTAATAATAAATTTCAAAAGAGTGAATTTCTGCTTTGAGAAATTTAGAGAGATAAAGGCGGATGGCGCGCATTCGCTACTGGTAAGAGCGATTTGTCGAGTCCATTCGCAATTGATTATCAATGATTGCTTCAATTATTATACTCTGTACGTCAACGTCTTCGTTTCTCTAATTATTTAAATGCGTATTGTCTTCTCTTTAGATTAGAATCGATGAGATTTTAAGTACTGTTTGTTGTGTATTTTTGCAGAATAGTCTCAAACTTTGTAAATATACTTATCAACAAGGAAGACTTGAACTTGATCTTTATCTTATAACTAATTATTATTTAAGCTTAAGTCATTATGAATTACAAGAAATTGATTCAACAAACTAAACATTAATAATCGATCCTTTTATGAAATCTTTATGGTATGAATTATTTGTAATTGAACATAATTTTATAAAAAATAAAATAAAATAAATTTTTATCGAATAATACTATATTATAGCATTAATATAAATCATATTACGATTATTTAGTATAATTAAGCAACAACAATGAAACTATTGAATTATAAATTATAAATGAAAAAACTTTTTGTCTTAAAATTAAATTATAGCAAATTTACTTTTTAGAAATTAAATTATAACAAAGTTTTAAGTGATTCTTAAAAGATTTTCTCGATAATGTTTTTTTATATTTTCTTTTTTTTTTTGTTTTTGCAAGCAGAAGATTGACTGGAAGAATATTGTAATATGTTTCAAGAAGCTTATATACAAATTTTGAAAATGAAATATTTTATGTCAAACCACTCATTGAAGTAATTATTTAATAATGCATTTTAATAAAAAAAAATCAATTTAAACTTCAACGTATAATCAAAAAATGTAAAATGAAAAAAATTCAATTGTCATATCTTTGAAATAAAAATTTTCATCAACATTTCATATGTTATCCTGGTAAAGTAGAAATATTTTTAAAATGACATTCTGTCCTAATAATTAAATTATATAATTATTTCAAAATCAAATACTCATCATCTGTGTGTTATAGATAGTAATACAATGATGAGATAATGGTAATAATGATTGTAAATTATTTAATTAATTTCGTGCTTTTTAAGAAGTACCTTTTATGTCTATAATATCCATTATATATGTAAGAAAAGTTTTATAAAATAAATTATTCTAGAAAAATATTATATTGAGACTACGCTTGTGTCTACTTTCCTTGTATTCTCTTTTATAAATATAGTCATCTCTTCAAATGAAGTAAGTACTAAACGGTCAGCAATGATCTAATAATAGACCATTCAATTAATATAAACAATTTCTTATTTAACTATTAAATAACAATTTACATTAATAAGATAATTATATCGCCATTGTTTCAAAATTTAGAAAAATATCGTCCATTAAATTTAATGAAGTTTGAAATGAAAATTTTTATATTCAATTTTATTAGGTAATTTTTTTTTTAATTAAATTAGAAAAAATTGACAAATTTAATCTCAGAAAGTTAAACAAATTTCACCCAAGAAGTAACGAAAAAAACGGTAAAATAAATGAACAAAAACTAAAATCGCAATACATTAAAAAATGGATTAAATTTAAATTTCCCATTCCGCCAATAATATTACAAGCACTTAGTTTTTAGACATAATAAATAAAAGTGGATATTTATTATTATGCAAAGCTATATTTCCAGATGTTAAACGTAAAAGTGAATTGAGTTTGAAGCTCTTCTCAATTTTGCAGATATTGAATTTTTTTGCATGAATACTCAATTAATTATTATTAGGAATAATAAAAATAATTAGGATTAATTTATCCATGAACTATGATAATAATAAAAAAATAATATATATATATATATATATAATTTATTTTACTTTTAAAAATTTATTACCCCACTTAACAATTGTTTATACAATACTTATTTCAAGCGTTATTTATTCTTATCAACAGTTGTTTATGACATTTTATATTGTCCCATAATATTTAAATATTATAATTATAATTATATTTTATAAATTTTAATGAAATTTCGATCATATGTTATAAGTTAAAAAAATATGTTTTTATCCTGCAATGGCTGAAATGAGGCTGTAAAATTATTTTCTAGAGTTAAATACAGCAAAGACTTGATCGATAATAAGAACTGAAAGAATCCTAATTCGATAATGTACGTTTTAAAAAAGAACGAATTTGTAATAATTCCCGGGAGCTCCATCCATCAAATCTAATAGATCATACATATAAAAGTATGAATAATGTGTTTTATCATATACAACAAACATTATATCAGATTATTTTATATAAATGATATGTAGATAAACCAGATGTGTTTTGCTTTTTTTTTTGTTTTTTATAAATAGCAGTTAATTAGTAATGATCATTTAATGACATATCAGTTTAGAAGGTTATATTTTTTAATTATAACCTCTTTTTATGATTTGTAAGATAAAATAATTGACTATTTTTAATTATTGCAACTGCTCGCGATAACAAATGAAAACAATGAATCTTATCTTATATTATGAATCTTATCGATTTAATGATTTTTACAAAATCTATTGCTTTAAAACGATTACGATGCGATTACGATTACGAGACGAACTCTGTATTGTGAGATACTGAAAATATCTTAAAGAAAATATGACTGATGAAAATCCGCATTAACATTGCTAAAATTCCATATTATAAATGTAAAATACAATATTACAGTTCAATAAAACGAAGCTTAAAAGGAAACGTATGGGGAAAGCATTATTTGAAAATCATGTTGAAACTTTGAAGAAAATTCTTGTCGCTGTAAGTTATGTCATTTCCTAATAACTAGTTCAAATTTGAGGATAATTTTTTAGTAAATGTTTCTTTAAAATATGCTAGACTACTCACACACTCACACACACACACACACACACACACACACACACACACACACACACACACACACACACACACACATATATATATATATATATAATATTCCTATAATAATAATTATTTTCAATATAAATTCTAAAAGAATATATAGTAAAAAGTAAATTTTTAATGTAATAAATGGGCAATACATAGCACGATAAATAGCAGGCATGAGAGATGAGAGGCCGAAATATGGAAGGGGCAAGGACGAATTCCTTTCTTTCTTTCTTTCATTTTTGCGTAGGCTGCAAGAAAACGTCGCATGCAAATCCGAGTCGGAGGTCACGCTTATCCGGCCTGGAGCTTTTACGACTCAGTATTAAATCGTCGAACGTCCCCGAACAGTCGGGATTTAGAATAAGGTGCCACGGCGTGAGAAGGGTGCGGGGAGTTTGAGCGAAATGGTTTTTGCACGGGTAATAAAGCCGAGTGCAGGACCTTCAGGTACTTTCTGCAAAATCTGGCTATAATTTCGTGGCTTTCGCCGATCCCGTTTTCACCGCTCGTCCGCGTGCGATTAAATTTCCGTAAATTTTGGAACCCTCCATTGCTTTGTATGTTCGCGCCACTTCCAAGGCGAGTTCCTTTAAATTTCTTTTGTCTATTATTAACTTTTGTAAAATTGCCATTGCAAGTACAGTGCCATTGTGTGCGACACCGTCGATATCACCGTCCCGCTGCTCGTTAATAACTGAAAAAATCACATTGAAATTTTAAGCCTCTTATACGAATTTCTTATTTCAAATTTGTAATCAATGCATTTATTATGAGCCTGCGGGGCCAAATTACATGCTAATTTATTTTTCAAAACATTCAACTTCCAAAAATGTTATCTGGGTTCTTATTTCATTGGCATTTTCAATATAATACTTTATTATGCATTCCGCACTTATTTGCATATTGTAGGATTACATTTTCTATGCCTTATTGCATTTTTGAAATTTCCTTAGACTTACTTCACTTCAATATATTACAAATTTAAATTAAACAAAAACCCAAACATAATATTAGAAAAATGATGCAAGTTCGTGGCTATTTGAAATTACGTGCTTAGCCCTAAAGTGAAAAGAATATTTTAATTACCTTTTTACATTCAACATAAAATTAACCTAAAAGCAAAGATTAATTATTTTTTAAAGATATTTCATTCGAGAAATTTACACGAGCTCGAGCTATACAACTTTCACTATCAACTGTCGATGACGAATGACAATAATAAGAATAATATCCTTGGAGAAATGTCCGTACGTATTTCGGCAGACCATGCAATAAAAGACGATGTCTATCGATCAATCACAGCCTCACGTACATTACCAAAGATTTAGCCGCTAATAAATTCCCTTAGACATGCGCAATACAAATGAGAGAGAAACTCGCTAAGCGTCATTTCCATATAAATCAGGCGCTCGCGGCTCCCCCTTTTACAATGCCAGTGCTCATTATCAGCGCTTATTGCAAATTCAGTCCTGATTACGCTACCTTACTTGCGCCTCGCACAGCCGTCCCCATGATCCAGAAGCCAAAGCTACGCCTCGACGATCGCACAAAGAGGTAACGGAGCCGAGCGACATCAATCAGCCCGATCGTAGCGGTAATAAAACGCAAAATCGAAAGATTTAAATGGTAATGCCGAGGCAATCACGGAAATCCCTTCTTTGCACCTATCGAAACTTCGACTTAAGATTTCGATTGTTTAGTTAATAGGAGCGATGCCGAGTGGCGGCGATGAAGCATCCACTATTATTATTTTTTTTTTTTTTTTTGAATATGAGAAGGGATGAGAGGGGGAGATGGGGAGATGGGGGACAGGAACCTAGTGGAAGTAGCTACGAATTGCAAATGCAAGACCGAGTCTGTTTGGAATAAGGGAATGCGGTATGCGGTTTAATATTTTCACTTCGATATTACTATTTGAACGTGAATTCTTGAGGCTTTGCTTTATTATCCATTGATCGAGAATGCTATTCTTGCAATTTGCAAACAGCCATACCTAAAATATTATTATTACACAATTAAATAATTATTTCATTTTATTGATGATTATGATGTTGCATACTTTAACTGATAAAAAACAATGCAATAAAATATATAAAAAATTTTAATTGAAATCTTAATACAATTATCAGCTACAAATAAATAATTTATTTGAGCCTAATCGTTGTACTTATACATCTGTATATTATTCATACATTGTTCGAAAACATTGTTGAATATATATGAAATAATGAAATACAATAGATAATAATAATATGGGAAAGTGCAAAATCAATCATGTCAACAACTTTATTTATCAACTATAAAATAATTATTTAAAAATATAATTTAATTTTTATTTAAAAAACCTCATTTCTAATTATCAAGTCATATTT